TTGTTATACTATTTTCCATTTTAATTTGGAGTTTACATGGAGACACTTTTGCTCAGTCTGGGTATAAATGTTGAATTATGCTGGTCCTAGCTAAATATAATTCAATTTTAGTGTCAAATTTCCTATTATCTCTTTTCTTTATAACCCTCAGATTCCAGTGACAGATGCAGGGCCAAGTGTTCCTCCTCCTCCTCCTTCTTTTTTACCTTGTTGTCCCCATCCCTCCATCTTGTGCAAGATAAGGATTATGTTTTGCCTGTTCTTGGGAAGGAAGGGATAATGTCTAATCAGTCAGTACTAGAGAATGAGTTCTTGTGTCAGCTGGGTGACATTGGACAAGACACTTGCTCTGAGCCTCAGCTGGTTGATAGGTTTGTTTTTATCTTTGACATTGATAAGAGAAGGTGTTAGACTCCAAGGTTCTTTCCATTTCTAAGCCCTGTTCTATGTTCTGTAACCTAGTACTCCTCCTGAGATGTGAGCTGGTGCCTTGGCTCTATTCTGGGTTTCTACTGTGAGCCTAGGAAACTGCTCCATGTGTAACAAGTCAAGCCAGTGGGGAGGCCTAGAGAGCTCCCACAGGTGGCAGCTTCTCTGAGTGGCTGTGAATTCAAACTTTCTGTTGAGGTTACCATATCATCCTGAAGGGATACAGTGTTGAATAAGAGCTCTTATTTATCCTTTACTTTCATTCTTACTGAACCTTGCTGAGGGTGAAATTATTTTTCTTCCTCCTCTTCCTTCTTCCTTCTTCTTTCTCTTCCTCCTTCTCCTCCTCCTTCTGGCTATAATTGCTATTTTAATATCTTTTATGTTATAATGATATTTAGTTTATAGAGAAGATAACTGTTTTCCTTATCAACATGTTAGAAGGGCATATGTGTCAGAGTGAAGAAGCAATATTGATACATTATGATTAACTGAGCCCATGCTTTATTCAGATTTCCTTTATTTTTACCTAAATTTCTTTTTCTGTTTTAGGATCCCATCCAGGATACCACATTATATTTAGTTATCATGTTTCCTTAGATTCCTCTTGTCTGGTATTTTTTTCATTTTTTTTTCCTTTTCTTCAACAACCTTGAGAATTTTGAGGAGTATGAGTCACGAATTGAATTGGCATTTGTCTGGTGTTTTTATCAAAATTAGACAGAGGTTGTGGAGTTTTGGAGGAAGATCACAGAGGTAAAATGCCACTCTCATTCTGTCACATCAAGGATACGAGCATTCAGCATGGTTTATGACTACAGAAGTTAACCTCGATTACCTGGTTGAAGTAGTGTTTTTCTGTCAGGTTTCTCCACTGTAAAGTTACTCCCCCGCCCCAATCCCATTCCATACTGTACCCTTTGGAAGGAAGCCATCATGGGGAGCCTGTGGAAGTTTCTTATTCATGTCACAGTCCAAGGTGTTTCTGAGAGCTATTGTCTTTTCTCCACACCAGTTATTCAGGGACCCAGCATTCTTCCATTCTTTTGCTCTGACATCCCTGAGGGCTTTGTCATCTTAATCCAGCCAGAGTTAAGGAAAAGAGAATCTGGAGGAGAATGTTTGCTTTTAAAAGTCTTGGCCTGAAAAATGGCACACATCACTTCCACTTACATTCCATATGACACTTATTCATCTGCCAAACCTAATTGCAAGGGAGGCTAGGACATATGGTCTAGCTGGGTGCCCAGGAAAAAGAGGAAATGGATTTGAGTGAAATGCTAGCAGTATGTGCCATCCCACTTTACAGAAGAAAAGGTAACAAACCAGCCTCTAGTAATATAGCCATCAATATATGTCTTTTTTTAAAAAAATGCAATAGAAGAACATAATGTTAGAATCAAGGAAAGTCATTTAAATTGGAAAAAAAAACTAGCACAATCAAAAACTTATTCCATTGACTGTATTTAATGAATTTCACTGTTGCTGTGTGAATACTGGTTAAGAACAGATACTTTCATGTCAGCATTTGAATACTTCTGCCCTATATTCTACCTGTTCTAGACTCTGCATTGTTCCCAGAGTCTGCTCTGTCTTCCTGTCTTGAATGCCTCCCTCCCCCGAGACCCCAGAAAAAGCCAACTCATTCCTTAATTCCTCAAGTGACAGATGAGGTATCTTAGCTTAAGTCCCTGCTCCTAAGGACTATCAGGACACTCTGCTTCCCTCTCTCATCTAGCATAGGTCCCCTGCTAGTGCTACTAGTGTTAACTATCATATGTTTTGTTTTTTTGACTGAGTGCTCCTTGGGGATTCCATAGGTTTTACAGGTCCCTGGGCAGAATCGGACAAATAATATGGGTGTTTGTTGAAAGTACCCAGGGTGTAGGATGCTAGATATGCTAAAAAGTCATTTCATGGTTTTAATTCCTTTTTGAAAAAAAAATAGCAAAACATATTATTTTCCCATCTATTTTAAAAGAGTTCTTCACTTATGTTGTCAGCTTTTGTGAAGGAGGGGATCTTGGGCTTAGTCTGGGAAGACTGGTAGAGCCTGACAGATGGGAGTGAGGCACTGGCCCATCAAGTGGGCAGTGTAACTTTGAGTGACCTGTCCGAGGTTGTAGGTGTTTGTTCAAAGGATGGCCAGGTCTCCTGTGAAACTTCAAGAGGTTCACTTTTGTAGATCATCACATAGTTACAACTCAAGTTACTGGGCTTGTTCTGGCGTTGATCTCAGCACTGGGGGTTGGTATAAAAGTCTAGTGCTCATTATCCTGAATAGGAGTTACCAACCTGAATTCCCAGAGTCCCAATAGGGGGATAGCTTCACCACGACAAAAGAAGTGTTTAATTACAGGCAAAGAAAAAGGAGCCTGAAGAAAACAAACACTCATTTGCAGGCTTTAATGACTAAGCTGCCATGCCTTTCATTACCAACAAAAGCATGACTTCTTCATGAATTAAGAGGTGGTTGCCCCTTTCCTTCTTTCTGCCACTTTCAATCCTCTATTCTCAGTCCACTGTTACTGGAGTGGCTTTACAAGCTCAATCAGCATTTTACTAAAACAGAAACCAGGAGACATGGGGTCTTCTCTGTGTTATCTCTTCAGTTTATCTGCATTGTTTCTTTGGTTTTTATAGTTGAAATGTCAGACCTTAATTAGAATTCATATTTTTATATGGTCTCATACTATCACATTGTTATTCATTTGAAGTTCTCAAAGATTAAAATTAGGGTACAAAAAAAATTTTTTTTTTTTCGTTATGTAGATGCAAACCCTGAGACCAGGTATTCTGTGATTTTCTCATGACCCCAAAGGCAATTGGAGTTCAGATTTAGGTCTTCTGACTCCGAATTTGGAGCTGAGTATGCTACATCAGAAGCTGCTGGTCAGCCAGGGAGCTTCATGCAAAGGCTCCCCTCAAGTTGTTTGCTGTGAGGTTAGCTCCCTGTGTGTTTCTCTGACATGGCCTGCTGTGTGGGATTAGGTGAGTCTGTGGAAGAAAAAGCATTACCCAAGGTCTGCAACCACTCAGGGCAGAGGATTCAAACATACTCAAAGTGAATAGAGACCCATAAAGGGACCTAATGATCATTTAATTTAACTTCTGGATTTCATTCATAAGGAAAATGAAGTCCACAAATTACAAATTGAATTTACTTAATTCAAAAAGATAATGGATAGCTATTGCTTAGAATGCCTAGTTTCCAGTTCAGTTCTTTTTTCATTAACCTTCTTCCTCATTCACAATTTTCTTGTCACTTCTCTTGCTTCATAGAATTGCTTGGAAGAAGACGTGACGATATTGGCATGCTCAATTTGGGCAATGAAATGGTAGTTCAAAACTCCTCCCATAGACATATTATATCCACAGAGCTAAACATATCCAGTCCTTAACTACAATCCCTTTTAGACCTAAATGTGAATAAATGTGTTCTGTTTAATACACACTGCCCAGCATTTTGCCTGAAAGGGGGAAACAAAAAAAAAAAGACATTTGTGGTAAATATGGTTTGAATAAATGGCAAAGATGAAGTTGATAGGCATGAATTCAGTGATTGTCCTTCTGAGGTTATTATATCGCTATGTCAGCGTTCACATGATCTCCATCTTGCCTCAGTTTTTTTATCACCAGAAGCAGCATTTTTCTTTTTCTCCTCATTTTTATGAAATAATTAGGGCTATAAATGCACTAGAATAATTTTCACCCAACACCAGAAACCAAAAGATGGTGACTCTGTGGAAACTAGATTGTTGCTGGCAGCCAACATCACAATGAGAAGGCTTTAAATATTTATATTTAGCTGATGAACAAATATCCAAATGTGGTATACAAAAGCCAGTTTGATGATAGTTATGTGTAGGGAGTTTTAAAAGTGAAGACATTTGGTTTGAAATTTTTAAAGAAATATGCAGGATTTTATTTAGTTAGTTTGTGTACTGGAAAATGACTTTTGCAGAACTGGGGCTCTTCCTTGGTGAAGTGTTTAGTTAAGGTGAAATCTGTGTCCCCTCATGCTTTCCAATGACATCTCATGGTCATGGGGGGTTTGCTGGTACCAATAATTCTCGTCTAAGATATTATTTTTTCTGGCTAAATTAGATCAGAATATCAAAACCCAGGAATTTCTGATGGATATTTGACAGACAGCAGAAATAGAAGTCTTACACTGCCTGATCATGGCTGCTGGAAGCTTCTGAGGAATTACAGTAGCATTTTGGCTTAAAAAATGATTCTGGAACAGGACCATAAACTTGGTAGTATCTTGTAGCCATGCACCAGATGCAGAAGGGAGGGGAAATAATTCACTTATTAGTGTGTCTCTGTATTTTTCTAATCATAATTAACATTTATTTATTTACATTCAATACTGATGCAAAGTATTTTGGTTCTGCTTCTAGAAGTATAGATATGTTACTGAAATGCCCCCCCCTTACAAATACTAATTTCAGTTTATACCATCGGCATTTATGCATTTACTTACATAATGTGTTTCACAAATTTGCAATTGTGCATTTTATAAACAAAATTAAAATTTGAATAATTATTTCATTTTTGTTTTTCAGAACCCCAGCTGAAAGGAATTGTGACAAGGTTATTCAGCCAGCAGGGATATTTCCTGCAGATGCACCCAGATGGTACCATTGATGGGACCAAGGACGAAAACAGTGACTACAGTAAGGAACATTAGCTTCTCGAAATATGATTACAAATCAAATGCATAACCCAGAGTATCTTCTATTTAAAACATGGCCAGGCTCCCTTTTGAACTATTTAACTATTAGTGAGCTAGTGTCTTTCCATTTATCCTTCTAGCCATGGATTCCCTACACCAAAGAGAAAGTGTGGGAGAGAAGTTATGTACTCACTGAGGAGATAGAAGGCTTGAAGGTGTTCCATCTGATCAATAGATGAAAATTTCTTCCAATTGCAGAAATTTTCATCATTTTCATGATAAGTACTCATAGGAACAATTCAGATATTCTAGCACAAGGTATTCTGGAACCAAATAGTGAATATAAGTTATAATTTTTAGAATATAATTTCTGGAAGGTAAAAATTATTTCTTAAGGCAAAGATTGAATGCACACATATGTGCATTATATGTTAAATCATTTTGGTTAAAAGTAAAATTAAATAAATAATATGTATTTATACATTATGATTTTTCAACAGTATATACAATAGTAATAAGATGATAAAGATTGGTATATCTGACATGGAATTTTAAAAATAATTTTTGAGCCTGGTGTGGTGGTGCATGCCTCTAATCCCAGTGCCTCTAATCCCTGTGTCACCCATGTTAATTCTGAGATACCCCTACTTCACAGTTTCCTTTTAAACAAATGAGGTAGGAGGATCACAAGTTCAAAGCCAGCTTCAGCAACTTAGCAAGGCCCTAAGCAACTCAGGGAGACCCTGTCTCTCTATAAAATACAAAGAAGGGCTGGGGATGTGGCTCAGTGGATAAGTGCCTAGGTTCAATCTCTGATATACCCCCAAAGAAAAAATCGAAATAAAAGAGCCAAGTGTTAATATATTGATAATAAAATCCATAGAAATAGTTTTTAAGTAGTTTAACTTTACAGTTGAGAAATCAAAGTATGACAGTGTGTTTGCATTTTAGAAAAAAATTCAAATACAGGCTTGAGTCAAGGGTATTTCTCATATATTTCAACTTCTTCATAATCATACAGATACCTCTGGGTAAATTCATATTATTCTAAACTTATTCTGGGTGCTGTATTTTTCTTAAGTTTATTTATATTAACTTTTAGATCTTTAGTGTTGGACACATAGTAAGTATTCATTAATATCTGTGCAGTAGGGTTGGACTCTGAGGGTTGTGATTTTGAGGTCAAACTGAAAATATAAAAAAACCTTCTCAGCCAATGTAGGAAAACTGATGTTTCACAATGATATAGCCTCTAAATTAATCATAAAGATTTGAGGAATGATTCAAAGTCCTTAAAGTGTCAGGATACTCTCATTCACCCCTTCTGAATTTTCTTTGTTTGCTTAATATTGAACATTGCAAAATATGAATTACAATAAAGAAAAGATCTTATTATGAAGAATTTCAATGCAGTTTTCTTGCTGTCAGTTTTCAGCAAAGTAGTTGATTAGCTTATTGTGTTTTGCATTGTTTGTATTTATGTGAATGAATTCTTTAAATGATTCAAGTTTTCAATTCAGTATAGAAAATAAGAGTATTCTTCTCTCCATGTAAGATTGGCATCTACTGCATCTGTACTTGAATGTTTAGGGAGGATGTAGGGAGGATTCAAGTATAAAGGAATCAACCCACAGCTTAGCTGTGTCACCCATATTAATTCTGAGATATCCCTACTTCACAGTTTCCTTTTAAACAAATGAGGTGACAGGACATGATAATTATATCAATATTCTCTATTTGCATCATCCTCCCAGATCTTATATATACCTACTTATACATACATACATTTATATACATATACTTTTGTATATATGTATATGTATGTATATATTTGTGTGTGTGTATATATATTAAATTAATGACCGACACGTATGTACCCTCCACATACCATACTGAAGATGATGGATGATGCCTTTTGTCACTGCTTTTAGCAAGTGTCTGAACTCAAAAATTTAAACCAATTTTTTATTGTGATGAACTCCTGCATACACTTTTTGATAAATTGTTCTTAAAAACAGTTTACACGTACAAAATAAAAGGAATAATGTACATTTAATTTGGATACACATCACCAATTTAAAATTAATTAAAAATTTCAATACATTTGAACTCCATGTATATATATTGGTATAATGTGTACTTACATCATTCATAATATTGTTATATATACTTTCAAACGTTTTATAAGTGAGAACACTGTCATGTATATCTTTTATGTACTTCAGCCTTAATATTATAGTGTGAGGTCTGTATAGGTAGTACACTTTATCTACTTTATTTTTGTAAAATATTTCACCATATGTATATAGCTAAATACAGCTATCCATTCTTCTTTGACCAATATTTTAAATTTCTATTTTAAGACAATTAAAAACAGGCCACCAAGATCTTTCTTTCATCTCTCTTTAAAAAATGACACACATCTCACCTTGGCACTATGTGTTCTGATATTCCCCTCAACAGTGTTAGTCATCTTTCCATTACTGTAATAAATACCTGTAAAAATCCACTTAACAAGAAGAAAGATTTATTTTGGTTCACAGTTTTGGAGATGTCAGACTATGACTGTTAACCCTATTCCTTGGGCCTGTGGTGGCACAGTACACTTTGGTGGGAGCATGTTGCAGAGGAGATCTTCTTACCACATGGTTGGGATGTGTAAGAGAGCAAGGAAGGGCCAGGGTCCCACAATCCCCTTCCAGCACATGCTCCCAAATGACTGGAAGACCCTCCCAACTAGGCCTCAAGCCTTTAACACATTGGCCCTTGGGGGACATTCCAAATCCAAACTATGGCACTCATGTTACTTCTTTGCATCACTGCTGAGAGCACTAGACATATATGTTATTGATATTTATTTGTTTATTTTTGTCCCAAGCACATGCAAGTTCCACAAGAGGAAAGATTTTGTTTTGATCTTTCATGTGTATTTAGAATGATCGCTTCTACTCAGTAGGAGTGAAATGGATGAATTAATGAATGACCATCTCCCCATGAATATGTGAAAAAATTTTTTCTAGGTTATTGGCTAAATACTTTTCCCCACCCATATGCTTTGCAGCTGTTTCTTTCAAACTCATTCTAGATTTTAGAAAAATGACAAAGTAATATAGCAAGTTCCTTTACATACTCTCCTCCCAGCTTCCTGTAATGTCAACACGTCATGTAACAATACAATTGTCAAAACCAGGAAATGAACACTGTTAAATGCTATAGCCATTTCTTGARTTATAACCTTCATTCAGATTTCACCTTTTCAAGTGTACTGTATTCTGACCCCTCTCCTACAGATTTAATAAAAAACTTCAGTTGAAAATAACTTTTATATATACTTTTCCTGAGTGAAGATCAGGGGTAAAAAATATCAGAATGATATTTAAATCCTACTCATGTTTTTTAATAGAAAAATTATAAGCCTCTAAGTTGTTAAAACGCCTTTTCTTTCTCCACTTTGTGTGGGTGGAGAGTAAAACCAGTTGATTGTTTGAAAAAGAATCTTGTTACTATGAGCATCTGTCAGAAATGTGTTGTTTGGTTCACCAGATATCATTGGGTCCAACTAACTTTACCATGGTATCTTGCACAGAATTGATAAAGGCACCTGTTCTTTTGTTCATGAAGAAAAGACTAATTGCATGTAATTGAGTACAAACACAGATGGGTTTGTCAGCAGTAACAGATAAAAATCTCTACAAATGTAATGATAACAAAAAAAAAAAAATTGCAGAACTGTGTCGAAACCCTGGTACAAAAAAGACATTTGCAGTTTGGAGGGTATTAATAGGAATATTTTACATAAAATTGAAAAGCTAATTATTCTGCTCCACAAGCTACCAAAGAAGAGACATTTGAAGAGGTTAAAAATGCTAGGAAGACAACAATGAAGATATTTTAACCAAATGTATTGTTCTCCTCATCTGAACAAAGATTGCTAAGAGCCCTTTGACTGAGGAAGGGGCTCCCTGATAAGTTAGTGCTGTGGTTAAACTGGGGAGAGGTTTTCAAGAAAGCCCCTGGGGCATGGAGGGAGAAGCCCTTGGTGGCTGGAAGAGTCTCAGAGTTCAGTGACTTTTTTTTATTTTTTAATTTATTTTATTTTATTTTTTTTTTTTGTGGCTGTAGATGGATAGTACACATTTATTTATTTATTTGTTTATTTATTTATTGTTTATTTTTATGTGGTGCTGAAGATCAAACCCAGTACCTCCTACGTGCCAGGCAAATGCTTTACCACTGAGCCACAACTCCACCCCCAGGGTTGAGACATTTAAAGTCCCCTCCAGCTATAAGGAGTTTCTTTTGAAACACATATTGAATAGGTAAGATAAGTGTATGTGACAGCCAGGTGCTGGCTTGGCAATCTCACAAAATCAGACAAGGCCACTGTGAAATGTGGATCAAGAAAAAAAGCAAAACCACTCAGGAATCACGTGGTCAGAACTACAAAATGACCAAGTCTTTCTCTATTGTGGGCTATGTGAGTGGCCACTGGTGCTTTACCAAACCTGGCTTTCCCCTTGCTGTTTTTCTTGCCTTCTAGATAAGATTATCAAAATACCCAACCATAGAATCACACCTGCCTTTTCAGAACACCAGTCTGGAGCAAAGGCACAGTTCTCTGGAGCTCTCCCTCAATCACCAAACACACCCAAAGCCTCTGAGTCTTTTCTTTCATCCTCTTGCTGAGATGTTCCTGCTTTTGCCATGATGTATGATACAGAGCAGATAATCTTGTTACAGAGTAGATAAACCCAATTTGGTCAATCACAGTTTTGTTTCTGATATTTTTTGGCTAGAAGGTGTTGACACAGTCAAAAACACTTTTATTTCTTGAACCCCTTCTACTACCTGGCCACATTTCTGGTATGTTTTTGAACATATTCTGTGCATTTGTCACTTTATAAAAATTGTTTCTCTCTCTCCCCTCCCCCATCTCTCTTTTTCTTGTTTGTTATATTTTTATTTATAATGGATCTGCAAGGTTTTCCATATTGATACATA